CAAAGGAACCCTTCCAAGCTTTAATATAACAAAGTAGCACATCCTTCTCCTTTCATTTGCATTTAACATGAGCATTTTCTATTACTTTCCTGTCTGCTTGAGAGAAGGTCAAAGAGGAATTCTGACCATCAAGAAATGTTATCACATCATTTCCCAAAGAACACTTGGGGCTGTACACCTACTGACTGTTCTAGGGTTGGAATATCCTGCATAATCCAATCTCTGGGACCCCCCTAGACATTCCACCACACTGACTTGAGAACCCAATAACAGAGTGACTGACTCAAACTTGCTTGGTGCCCTACACTGTAGGAGATGGGTATTGCGACAGAGAAGGGAGCAAGGCATGCTGTCTTTAAGGCCTGGAGATTAGTGAGCCTGCCTTCTGAGACCAAGGGGATGGGCAGGCACATGCGGATTCATGCCCTGTCAGCATCAGTGGTAGGTGTCCACATGGTCCTCATGCACTTTTAATAACAGGACAGGAGGGGACACTATGGTTCACTGCTGACTGCACACAGAGGCTAGCTGAGATGGTTTGGAACAACACTGCAGCTTTGGCTCAGCAGTCATCCCAACCTTGGGCACTTGGGGAAGAACTTTGCTGGTCTCTGGCTGAGTCCTAGCTCCCATGGGCTTCCACATGTGCATTACAGTTGCAGGAGTCAGGGAGCAAAGCCCCTGCCCAGTCCACAGGCATGTATAGCCTGGGGTACCAAAGTCCTCCTCCTGGTGACCACTCTCACAGGAGCAGCAGAAAGGGTTCCTATTGCCACCCCACCTACATGGTTCCCACTGCTGGCCATTCCCGCCCCTTACCTGACATTCACTGTTGCCAGGACTGAGTGGGAACACCACATGTGGGGTGCTGATATTCCTGCCATTGCCTCAGGCATCTGGGCCTTCACCACTGGTCAGAGGACAAATGCTTCTGGCTACTGGGTGCTGCCAGGGCCTGGGAAAACACCTATTACCTGAGAGGGGACACCACTGCCATTGTAGGTGTAGCCACACATAAGCATCCCATACCCCCTGCTGTCTACACTACACTTGCCTGAACTGCTAAAGTGTTCCTGCTTTGTGTGGGTCTTTCTGTATCTGCCATGGTACATACTAGCCAAGCTCATTGATCACTGCCAAAGAATCTCCAGAGAGACATGCTGCATTGACCAGATATAATTAAAGCCAACACTACACAACAAAATGACATCCTACAACACATTTTTAGGAGATTGCTGTTTAGTAAGAAAACTACCCCATAAAATGGTAGTGATATCTGAACACCAGATACACAACTCTCACAGTAGGAACAAAGCAATAGAAAAGAAAAGTAGTATGATCCCTCCAAAAGTACAGATTCCAAAGAAATCAAAATGGATGAAATGGCTGATAGTGAATTAAAAAGACAGATGATATAAAAGCTCATGAGATAAAAGAGACTTCATATAAACAGTTATGAAATTTGGAAGATGATGGACACAAATGACTACCAAAATTGAGTCAAGAAGGCATTAAAAAAAACTGAATAAAAAGCAAGTAATGACATTGCATCAGTAATTTAAAAATCTCCCAATAAAGAAAAGCCCAGGACCACATGGCTTCATGGCTGAATTTTACCAAACTTTTAAATAAGAACTAATCCAAATTCTTCTTAAATGATTCCAAAGACTTGAAAGGAAGTGAACCCTTCCAAAATTATGCTATGAGGCCAGCATTGCCCTGTTACCAAAATGTGACAAGGACACAATAACAACAAAATCTATAGTCCAATATCTCTGGTGAACATAGATGCAAAAATCCTTAGCAAAACACTAACAAACTGAATTCAACAACACACCAAAAAGATCATCATGATGACTGAGTTGGTTTCATTGCAGGGATGCAAGAATGCTTCAATATATACAAATCAAGAAAAGTAATACATCAAAAAAAGGGGTAAAAATCAGTATTCATGAGCAAATTAATAAAGGGTACATATGACAAACCCATAGCCCACATCATGCTGAATGCTCTTCACTGCTCTTATTGGATATGGTACTAGAAGTTTTAGCTAGAGAAATTAGGCAAGAGAAAGAAAGAAAAGGCATATAACTAGGAAAAAAGTAAGTTGAATTACCTGTTTGCAGATAATACCGTTTTATACATAGAAAAATGTAAAGACTCCATGAAAAGACAATTAGAATTAATAAATTCAGTAAATTACCAGAATACAAAAATCAACATGTAGGGGGTATGGCTCAAGAGGTAGAGTGCCTGCCTAGCAAGCATGAGGCCCCGAATTCAAATCCTAGTACCACCCCCCAAAAAAATCAACATACAAAAATCAGCTTTTTTTGTACACTAATAAGGAATTTGCTAAGAAAGCAATCCCATTCACAACTGCAAAAAGATAAAATATATAAAAATAAACTTAACCAAGAAAGCAAAAGATCTCTGCAATGAAAACACAAAAAGATGGAAAGACCTTTGTTCATGGATTAGAAAAAGTGATATTGTTAAATATCCACACTAGCCAAAGCAATCTATAGATTCAATGCAATTCCCATTAAAATATTAATGACATTCTCACAAAACTAGGAAAAACAATCCTAAAATTCATGTGAAAGTACAAAAGACTCTGAATAGCCACAAAGATGGTGAGCAAAAAGAACAAAGCTAGAAGCACACAATACCCGATTTCAATACATACTATAGAGCCACGGTGATAAAAACAGCATGGCATTGGCATAAAAATGACACATACACCAATAGAAACAACAGAGATCCCAGAAATTAACCCATGCATCTATAGCCAAGTGATCCTCAACAAAGGTGTTAAAAACAAACATTAGAAAAAGGACAGTTTCTTCAATAAATGGTGCTAGGGAGGCTGGATATCCATGTGCAGAAGATTGAACCTTGGCTACTATCTCTCCCCCTGTACAAAAATCAGTTACAATGGATGAAAGACCTAAACGCATGACTGTATCTACTAGAAGAAAACACGGTATAAGCAATGCTTTTCTGGATAGGCCCCCAACAGCACAGGAAACAAAAGCAAAAACTGCCAAGTGGAATTATGCCAAACTTCTGCACAGCCAAGGAAACAATCAACAGAGTTTGTAGGTGTCCTGCAGAATGGGAGAATATATATGCCAGCTTTTCACCTGACAGAGGGTTAATATCCATAATATATACAGAACTCAAAAAAATTTTTAAAAAAGCCAAGTAATCCAATTAAAAATGGGCAAACACTCTACATACTTAGCCTTCAGTAAAATCAAAATGTCAATGAGTACCGCCTTACCCTAGTTAGAACGGCCATTGTCCAAACAAAAAAATAACAAATGCTGGCAAGAATGTGGAGAAAAAGGAACCCCCATGTCCTGTTGGTGGGAATGTAAACGAGTGCAGCCACTATGGAAGTCAGTATGAGGTTCCTCAAAACACTAAAAATAGAACTACCATATGATGAAGTTTATATGACTACAATGGAATGTAAGTCAATATGCTATAGAGAGGCCTGTAATCCATGTTTATCAAATCCATGTTTATCGGAAATTATTTAGAGGCAAGTGAAAACATTACTCATAATAGCCAAGTTATAAAATCAGCCTCAGAGCCCATCTAAGGATGAATGGGTAAAGAAAATGCGATACCGAAAGACAAGTAATGCATGTTTGCACTCGTGCAGAATTTAAAAGCAGTCAACCTGAAAGTAGAATAGTGATTACTAGAGATTAAAAATACAAGGAGTGGGGGGTGCTGAGATATGCTCAATCCACACTGTATGCATGTATGAAAATATCACATTAGACCCCCTTAATATAGTCAATTAATATACATTAATAAAAATTTTAAAATAATTTTATAATTAACTCCTTTCAGCTGTTTTGGCCTATCATAAAAAGGCATAAATCTCTATGACTAAAAAAATACTTTTAGTTCCAGATGAATTCTCTCAAAGAGAAGTATCAAGCCCTTTTAAAAGTCAAGCAGGTAATCATGTATTGGTAAAATTACTTGAGTCAGATAAGCACACAATGACTTGTATGTGTCTATTTAAGGTCACAGATTGCAAGCCGTGGATCTGATCATATAAATTCTGAGCGCTTTGTTGTGCTCAACAGAGGAGCTTTCACTTTCTTCTACTTTCCTTCCAGCAGGTAGTTTCAGAGGCTCCTAGAAACTCCTCTGGTTCTCTGATTTCCTGCTGTGTTCACCCCCACCCTACCCTGTCAGGCTCCCCTAGGCAGCCCTGGCTCTGAACATCACTTGATCACCCATGGCCCCTCTCATTTTCACTCAAATTCAATGCAGAAAAGGAGCGCTTTTTGGCCCTTGTCTTTTGGCACACAAACACTGCAAAGGGTGAAAAAAGTAGCTCACTTGCAGATGAGAAAGCTAAGCTTGGGAGAAATGGGGGTGATGTCCATTTCTGGGTGTGACCCTTGAAGGGCCATAGCTGAGAACAACCTGGTGGTCATTTTTTCTCCCTTAGAGACTAATGCTGACCAAGTCATTAACACAGTTACCTTGAGCATCGTATCAGTTCTTTGTTATTTGAGGTGATTCTCTATCGTGTAAAGTCCCTAACATGGAATTCTGTGAGAATATGGCTTCATCAGCCACCATCACCTGATTTCTTCCCTGTTTCTGCAACTTTCATCCCAACCTATAATTTAAAATCTCTCCTAAGCTTTTCAAAGTGATTTGGCATCTGTTGACAGTCATTGTATTTTAGACAACTGCTTTTCTTTCTACAAAGACAAATGCAAATGTTGGAAATGTAGCTCAGTAGTAAAGCACTTGCCTAGCATGCGTAAGGCTCTGGGTTTGACTCCCAGCACTGAAAAAATCAAGTGATAGGAAAGCCCAAAGCCAGTTCCTCATGTAGGAGGAGCACTGATAGACTTTCACATGCTGTTCTATCCCAATGCAGCTCGTGTAAGGCCCCCTGCAGCCAGCAATCAACATGTAGAATTTCAGCAATGAAAGTTCAATCAAGAAAAATAATTTACCTTGGAATCCAGCTGCTGCATGTAGGACCAAAGATACTCTATATTGGCTCCAAAAGGATGGACATGAAGAAACGTTGATATGATGCCTGAATTAAAAAGACAAACATGGGAAATTATTTAGAGGCAAGTGAAAAGTCTGAGTTAAGTAATGTCATTTCATCTTAATGACGTGGTCAGGCTGAGTTGTGGTCTTGCTCATAACATCACTCAACAATCATTCAGTAACAGCCTGTCCTGGAGACAGTAATAGTAACATGACAAACAGTATTTTGTCTCCCGGAATGCCAGCAGTCAGCAAAGCTAGACTTGAGATAATATATAGATAAATAAAGGCATTTGTAAACAACTACACCTGGAAGCAGTTCAACTACCAATTTTATGCTTGATTTACCAATATAAAACTATAGTTATTGGAAGGATAAAATTATCTCTTTTCTTTCTCTCAGTGGACTCTGCAGTATGAAAATGGCTCAGATGGCTGTGTCAGAAATCACACTGCCTTGAGTTTTGCTGATAATTGCAGTTGCTGCTTCTGAAGAGTATGTAATCCATATTCCCCTACCGCTGTTGGAGGAAGGGCATTCTTCTGCAGCCTGCGCTGATTCCCACAGCGTGTGGTTGCTGTTGAAAGGGAGCCAGGTGCTTTCCTCTTCTCTGCTGTCGTTTACAAGGTCATTTTAAAGGTGGGAATGGATGCTTTGGCTGGAGTTTGATTAGAAGTCAGAAGACCTTTCCATTGTGAAAATCAACTCTCAACACTGTACTGACAAATGACCAGTTGGATGTTAGTGTTAGGCTGAAGTAACGAGCATTATCTTCCCATCCTCACTGTTCCTATATCCAAAGTCCAAATAGTGAGGAAGTCAGCTCTACAGACCATGTGCTGCTTTTTGTTAAGAAGCTGTGCTCAGGTGGACATTTTAACATGCTCTTTTAAGCAGGTTCTGGATGGTTTAAGTTTCATGTTCTGTTTATTCTGAGCATTGAAGCCAGGGAGCCAGAGGCCAAAGGGAAGACCCTCACTAGCCCAAAATGCAGTCAGGGACCAGGCAAGCACAGCATCCTGATAGTAGCTCATCCTATATTTGCAGGGGACCTTGACTGATCCAAGATGGCATCTCAGCCACTTGCTCTCCTGGGTGCAGCTTTTAGGATGCTCCAAGATGAATGTCAGGTCTTAAAGGAAAGTTCCCAGATTATATTAGGCTGAACTGAAGAGTGTAGATGAGCACTCTCCATGGCCAGTCCTTTGAAGAGCTGCTTTTACAAGTTTACAGTGAAATGAAGTTGAAAGAATTAATTAAATTTCTCTATAAAGCTGAAATTACAGCTTTCAGAGACTTGCCTGCTCTTCCTGAGATACAAAGAGCTATCATTTTATTCTGAGGTTATTATTTTCTTCTCTTCCTCTTCTTTCTTTGCTACAATCTACTTTTAGGAAATAATGGTGATGGTGGGAGGTGATGATAGTTTGAACATCTTTTTTTTCTGTGTGTATGGGGGGGGGGAGGACTGGGGATTGAACCCAGGGCCTCATGCTTGCGAGGCAAGCACTCTACAACTGAACCACATCTCTGATCCTTCTATTTGCATTTTGTTTGTGACACAGGGTCCTCATAACTTTGCTCAGGCTGGCCTAGAACTTACAATCCTCCTAGCCTCTGCTTCCCTAGTAGCTGGTATTATATGTGTGTCCCACTATACCTGGCTAGGTTTAATATCTTTAAGTGGCATCCTGAAAAAAATGTAGCTCTGATGCCCAGGTTTTTTGTTGTTTGTTTTTTTGAGATAGGGTCTCACTATGTAGCCCAGACTTGGCCTTGAACTCAGGAGACTCCTGCCTAGCTTCCTGAGTGCTGAGATTACAGGCATGTACCACCATGCTAAGTTTTTTTGTTGTGGTTTTGTGGGGGGAGAGAGCTTCCTATATAGAGTCTTTTTGTAGGTCCTTTCAAAGGACTGGACTATTCCCTGGGAATGGAAAAGGGATAGCTGTAACTCAAAAGTTCATGAAAGATGTCACAAGATTGCCAAATGAAGATTTTGGTCCTTTGGGAATGACCTCAATGCTTGGTAAGAGGAACACTGGGAATTGAGGGTGAAGACTTCAGCTAACCCTGAACTGCTGGGCCTGCAATGGGGTAGATTCAACCATTGCTGCTGGCCCTTTCTGTAGAGAAGCAGGAGGTCTTCACATTGAAGAATGGATGTCCCAATAGTAGAAAATACAATTGTAAGTAGCTAGTTTCAGACAAAAGAAAGGAGCTGAGGAAGTTGTCAGACTTTTTCAAGTCTCAGCTCCTTAAAAGCTACTTCAGAAAAATACACAAACCAGCTCTGTAGAGTCAGTGGCAAATCTTGCTAGGAAGATTGATGTAAACAGGCTACACATAAGAGCATCCCATCAAAATCAACTGATTTCTTCTCAGTTTTGAACCTCACCAAGACCAAGAGAGCAGCATTTAAACCAAATAGTGCTAGATTTTGTTTTCATTATTCACTCCCTTTAAACACTCACTTAGCAGCAACAATTTGCCATGGTGTTAGGGGACACCATCGTGTAAAAGAAAAAGGGTTCTAGTGGAACCTTTATTCTAGGTGAACGACACAGATGAGAAACACAAAGATTAAACATAAAATATTTTCAGATGCTGGTAAGCATAACAAAGAAAACAAAACAGGTAATAGATAGGAAGTGGCCTTGTGAATGTTGTTATGCTCGAATAATGAAGGCTTGGTCCCCAGCTGATGGCACTATTTTGGGAAGTGATGGAAACTTTAGGAGGTGGGGCCTAGCTCAAGGAAGTAGGTCATTGGGGGCATGCCTTTGAAGGTCCTCAGTCCATTTCTCACACTCTGCTTCCTGTGCATCATGAGTGCATAGCCTCATCCATGCTTTTTTAGTATCTGTGAACTCCTACTTTTTTTTCTTTCTTTTGGTTATACCATGGTTTGAACTCAGGAACTCATTCTTGGTAGGTAAGTTCTATCACTTGAGCCATACCCATAACTTTTTTGCTTTAGTTTGTTTTTCACATAGGGTCTCTTGCTTTTGCCCAGATTCTCCTTGGACTGTGATCCTTCTACTTCTGCCTTTTAGTAGTTGGAATTACAGTGTGCCCTAACATGCCCAGATTGTTTTTGAGATAGGGTATCACTGATATTGTCTGGGCTGGCCTCAAACTGAGATGCTCCCATCTTTGCCTGAGTAGCTAGGATTACAGGCATGAGCTGCCATGCCTACCAATGATCTGTGAACTTCTTGAAGGAAGAGATCCTCTTGCCACCATCAGCTAACCCAGGTGTTGATGTTGGCATTGTTGTGGGGTAGACTGTGATTTCTCAAAACAGTTCCAAAAACACCTGCTTCATATCCACGCCAATATTAGTTTTACAATGAACAGAATCTGGTGAATGGCCAAAGATTCTGCCTTTCAACAGCCATTTTTTTCCACAAGGAAGGCTGATAATTCTTATAGTTGGCTCTTGACAAATGTTTGCCGATTTATTCAGATGGACATTTGTGCTTTGGAAATAAGAACAGGTCAATGACTCATTCTTTATGGTCAGTCGCTTTCAGAAAGAAACACATACTCTCCAGATTACTTTAAAGTAGTTTTCTTAAGTGCAGCCTCAATTCTGTTCACTGAAAACACCAGAAGTCACTGCTCAACCTTCCATAAATGCTGTCTCTCCATATTCCATTCACTTGCTCCCTAACACCCAGGAATCAGGAACATTTGATTCTGGCAGAGGCTGTGCACATGTGTGAGAGGGTGACTGACAATGATGGAGACGGCAGTGTGAGGAGAATTTGTGGATGGTTCTCAGAGGACCAAGGAAGGTTTTTTTTACGTTTGTATTTTCTAAAGATTTTTTTAATATTTCATTTTTATTATTGTTGTACTGGGGGTACACTGTGACACTTACAAAATTTCTTACAATATGTCATAATTGAATTCACCCCCTCCATCATTCTCCCAAGGAAGTTTTAAAGAAAAGCTGCTTTGTAAATAGTTTAAATTCTTTGCAAGACTTTGATCATATCTGGATGGGATTTACAATGATGACTAGCATTGACAGGGTGCCAATCACAGCTGCTAAACATTGGAAATCTGTTGAGCTGGAATTCAAAAGCAAGAGAAGATGGGGTGATACAGACTCATATTGTCAACATTTCCTTAGAGCTATTAGCTTATTAATAAAAAATTTGATCCATTCTCCTTTATGATAATATCCAGTGGTTTCTAGCCAATCACAGCAACAAAGCTTTGGTCCCAAATCAAAAGCACTGACTCAATGTAGCTCAGTGACGCCAATGTGTGGGACATGGTGAAATGAACCAGGAGTTCTGGCACAGAAACTAAGCAGTGTGAAGCTGACTTAAAATATGGTTATCACAGAGCTATAAGATATAAAGAGATAAAAAAAATGCTGCCCTACAATGCCCTCCATAAAAGTCTAAATCTTTAAGGTCCAATTATAGGTCAACCTGTCTTCACAAGGATTGGTCACAAAATAAAAAATACAGAAACCACAACAACAAGACTTTGAAGGGCCTATCTTCTTCAGTTGGGTTGGAATACAGTACCCTATACCCATTAATTGTCAAGAAGAAAGTTTGGCAAAAATATTCAACTCCCAAGTCTTAGGATCCAGATTTGCAAAGCTCGAAATGATGTCATTAACAAAATCCCACTGGTCCTCTCTAACAAAAACCAACACAAACCCCTTGAAATGCAGACTGTAATTTTATAAAGTGTTCGTGAGAACAGACAGAATACAGGCTTTTGCCCAGATAAATCAGTGTCACAAATGATCATGAATAACTAGGATTGCTCATTGTTAACAAAGTTCTAACCTCAGTTCTACATCCTTTCGAATCCATTTGAGATAGCATCTTTTTTAAAAATTGTTTTATTATTCATATGTGCATACAACGCTTGGGTCATTTCTCCTCCTGCTCCCACCCCCTCCCTTACCACCCACTCCACCCTCTCCCTCTCCCCCCACCCCCTCAATACCCAGCAGAAACTATTTTGCCCTTATCTCTAATTTTGTTGAAGAGAGAGTATAAGCAATAATAGGAAGGAACAAGGGTTTTTGCTAGTTGAGATAAGGATAGCTATACAGGGAGTTGACTCACATTGATTTCCTGTGTGTGTGTTTTACCTTCTAGGTTAATTCTTTTTGATCTAACCTTTTCTCTAGTTCCTGGTCCCCTTCTCCTGTTGGCCTCAGTTGATTTTAAGGTATCAGCTTTAGTTTCTCTGCGTTAAGGGCAACAAATGCTACCTAGTTTTTTAGGTGTCTTACCTATCCTCACCCCTCCCTTGTGTGCTCTCACTTTTATCATGTGCTCATAGTCCAATCCCCTTGTTGTGTTTGCCCTTGATCTAATGTCTGCATATGAGGAAGAACATGATTTTTGGTCTTTTGGGCCAAGCTAACCTCTGTCAGAATGATGTTCTCCAATTCCATCCATTTACCAGTGAATGATAACATTTTGTTCTTCTTCATGGCTGCATAAAATTCCATTGTGTATAAATACCACATTTTCTTAATCCATTCGTCAGTGGTGGGGCATCTTGGCTGTTTCCATAACTTGGCTATTGTGAATAGTGCCGCAATAAACATGGGTGTGCAGGTGCCTCTGGAGTAACCTGTGTCACAGTCTTTTGGGTATATCCCCAAGAGTGGTATTGCTGGATCAAATGGTAGATCAATGTTTAGCTTTTTAAGTAGCCTCCAAATTTTTTTCCAGAGTGCTTGTACTATTTACATTCCCACCAACAGTGTAAGAGGGTTCCTTTTCCCCACATACTTGCCAACACCTGTTGTTGGTGGTGTTGCTAATGATGGCTATTCTAACAGGGTGAGGTGGAATCTTAGTGTGGTTTTTAATTTGCATTTCCTTTATTGCTAGAGATGGTGAGCATTTTTTCATGTGTTTTTTGGCCATTTGAATTTCTTCTTTTGAGAAAGTTCTGTTTAGTTCACTTGCCCATTTCTTTATTGGTTCATTAGTTTTGGAAGAATTTAGTTTTTTAAGTTTCCTATATATTCTGGTTATCAGTCTTTTGTCTGATGTGTAGCTGGCAAATATTTTCTCCCACTCTGTGGGTGTTCTCTTCAGTTTAGAGACCATTTCTTTTGATGAACAGAAGAGATAGCATCTTTTTAAAATTTCCTTTCTCTTTCAAGCAATCTGCCACTGTATATTTCTCATGTAACATAAATGTAACCAGAGAATGTTGGGTCACCTGAAATATTGTCAAATAGCATGTACTATGGTTACCCAGATGTAATGAAGATTTTGCCAATTAATACTTCCAAGTGGAGGGAGTTTTTCTGCTATACACCTGGACTTCTAGACTGGCTTAGAGCATGCCCATATGTCCTCTCTACATGGTTAACTATTCCAAGAGAAGAATTACAGGAGGATTGCAAAGAGCATTATTCTTGACCCTTTTAGGTATACCTGAAGGCCAGGGCCCTCTTAGAACCACTCTACCTACCAAAATATTTAAGAAGAGAGTAACCCTGGCACCAGGAACTTCCTTTTCTCTCTCACCTGGTCTAGAGCAGTTTTGTCCCTACCACAGTCTATGTCTAGATTAAGGAACTTCAGGGGACATCTTTTGGTGGTTTCAGCCTTCAGGTATTTACAAAGTATGAATGGCCAAACTCTGATAACAGAGGGGCCCATTTAATGGCAGGGGGCAAAAACATCCTCTAGAAAGATCCACTGTCAATCTTAGAACCTCTTCTCTTTTATTCTCTCTCTTTTATTACAAAAAAGTATAAGATTTAGAATGCAGGTATCTGGTAGAGGGTAAGTTTGGGGAAGAAGTCACATCTGTTGACTAAAGTAAAATATCAATAATGGTAGACCAATAGGGAACTGAAGGAAAAAAGTACTCCTAAGTTTATTCTAATCAAACACTAAAGTCTTCAGCCTCCTTTCTACCTAAATATTCACATATACTGATCCTGTCAATTCAAGATGAGTGTCTTGGTACTCTTTTGCTCCAACTCCAAAGTCCAAATGCTAATATCAGTAAGCTGGCTTAAAAGACTCACAGTGAGGTTAGCCTGGCTCAAAAAACCAAAAATCGTATGTTCTCCCTCATATGTGGACATTAGATCAAGGGCAAACACAACAAGGGGATTGGACTATGAGCACATGATAAAAGCGAGAGCACACAAGGGAGGGATGAGGATAGGTAAGACACCTAAAAAACTAGCTAGCATTTGTTGCCCTTAACGCAGAGAAACTAAAGCAGATACCTCAAAGCAACTGAGGCCAATAGGAAAAGGGGAACAGGTACTAGAGAAAAGGTTAGATCAAAAAGAATTAACCTAGAAGGTAACACCCACGCACAGGAAATCAATGTGAGTCAATGCCCTGTATAGCTATCCTTATCTCAACCAGCAAAAACCCTTGTTCCTTCCTATTATTGCTTATACTCTCTCTACAACAAAATTAGAGATAAGGGCAAAATAGTTTCTGCTGGGTATTGAGGGGGGGAGAGGGAGGGGGCGGAGTGGGTGGTAAGGGAGGGGGTGGGGGCAGGGGGGAGAAATGAACCAAGCCTTGTATGCACATATGAATAATAAAAGAAAAATGAAAAAAAAAAGACTCACAGTGAGGGAAAAAGGTCTGAGAAAACTTGTTTGTTGTATATTCTTTTTTAAAAAATTTCTAAATATTTTTATTTCAAATCTCTTTTCACCCCTCCCCTAAAAGACATGGGTCAATATAACAATCATAAAAAAAGGGGATGTAAACACAAGAGTCAAATGTCTCCTACACTGACACAAAAAACCAGGAATTGTATATGGGGTTTCCAAATGGGACCTGTTGTTGAAAATCCTGACATATTAACATTTTTTCTTTTTAACACTTGAGTTAATTAATTTCATTTTTTGATACTAAAGATACAACAGAAGTGGAATATTATAAATATAACCTCCCAGTCTATCCCTATTAATGTACAATGTTTATGTATATATATATGCACAAAGATATAAATGTATGTACATATGTATATAAAAACTATTTAGAAGACAATGTAAATGAACAGTGTTCTCCAAGTAGAACATAAAATAAAAGGAGAAACAATCTCTTAGTGGGAAGAAAATAGAGACTGTTCTCACTTTTAAAAAACTTTAAAGGTCAATATTCACACTTAAAGAGGGAAAGTTTTTTTGCAGGTCATTATGTGCTTTGTTCATACCCTAAAACATTATAGAGGCAATCACATCTTTGTCAAACTGAAAGAGAAACAGTTGTCAGAGTTGGACACATTTTCCAGTAAGAGAAAAATCCAGTTACTAACACATAAGGGCTCATTTTGGGTTATGCATGGCATGTTATTACAGTTGTATATCATCAGAGAGAAAAAAAAATAATTGGTTTTCCTTGGAGTATCTCTAAGTTGATGTCATATTCAATAACCCTGTAGTTGAAAAATCTATATGTGATGAATGAAGTTTGGACTATCTTTTGAATTTAATTCCTTCTGTGCCAGCTCTGCAGGCCCTGGTGTACCTGTCACGTTGAGGTGAGAACTTATGCAGTATTTAGAAAATGCAGCCAGGTGCTACTTCTGCCAGATAACAAACTACAGGAGAACAATTCATCTTGTGTGTACAGTGGCCACATTCGTCATTGTTAATCACGCCTTAGAGAGCACAGTCTGAACTTGGAACTCCATGCTGGGGTCAGTGCCAAAGCATAGCTTGAATCAAGGCTGCATATTACTGAGTGAGGATACTGGCCTTCTTGTTTCTGGATTTGAGGGCTTCAGGGACAGACAAGGTTCTAAGGTGGCATCCCAGGTCTATTACCAACACATCTCCCTGAAGAACTTTTCCCTGAGAGAGTAAAGTACTGCTTCTGAATCAAATAATGATGAATTTCAAAAGAGAACAGTTAGAGCTTTGTCTCTGATACAAACAAGGAAAAACCAACCTAGATGTATTTTGGCGGCTGGAGGGGGGGAGGACGGGGACGGGGATGGGACAACTAACAGCAATTTCCTTCCTTCTTTGCTCTTCTTAGTGGCCAATCTCTCTTACTCATCTTGGATAAATGATCCACATGTGGACATGGAAGTGTGGATTAGATGGTCTTTGGTTATCCTAATACCAAAGTCTTGATGCTCCTCATTTCATCAGCATTATGGGTCTGGCCTAAGGGCTGACTCTGGGATGTAGCCTTTGCTAAAGGGGCTCAGAGGTTGGTATCCAGGTTCAAAGCTATTCAACAGCCTGGATCTGGCTTGGTTTGGAACATTGGAACAATAACCATCCTGACCTCCAGATAGAAGTGCCATGTCCAAATTTTAAAATTCAGATTTGTGACATTTGAGATACCATTAATCTGTTTTCTTGAACTCAATTTTATTCCTGACAACTACCTAATACCTATGGTTACAAAAGAGCAAAACCTCCATTAATTTGTGTGCCACTTGTTTGAAATGTATGTAATCTTGACGAAATTAATCTCACCTTAGACTAGAAGGCAAAGCTATTTAAATTGCTAACAAGATAGAGATGAATTACTAAAATATTATTTAAGTTAATGACCTAATAATTATGTAAGTGTATAGATGGAGAAACAATTTCCTTACCTATTAGGAGAGCTTCTTTCTCTGATTTTAAGCCTTGGCTTCTTTTCTCAATACTGTTCTCTCGGTCTTGGTTGACCAATGCAACTGTCAATACATTGATTTCCTAAAAAGTTAAAAAACGAAAGCCATATATCTGTTTATGTAGATTCTGTGGATTTCAATAAAACCATCAGATTTTAAAAACTCTATAAAACAAGTCATCACTTCCACTTATAACTGAAGATCAACTCTTATAAATAACTGATATATTCACCAAGCAATAGAAAAGTAATTTTAAAACCTAGGCTCCTAACTTTTCCCAGCAAGCCAAGTAACTCTACAGGAATAGCAAATTTGAAACAAATTATTTTAGATTTTTGTCCAGGTTTTGATTAAGCTCTACTCATTAAGGCTATTGACTATAACTACTTTAACATGTTTTATTTTAAATATTAAAAATAATCTGGGAAAGCTTATACTAGACTGACTGATTTATAATGCTATGTGAATAAGTTGAGTGAGTGTGTGGGGAAACAAGACCCTTTGGGAAACTGGTATGGAACTGTTGGTAGGACAGTTGAGTAGGTATAAATCCGTATGCACAATCAGAAAAAGGCAGATAAAGCAAAGGCTGGGAGATTCTTTTCTTTGGAAACTAAAAACAAATAATTGTACAACAAGTCAATAACACAAGAAACACTGAAGCTGGGCTATTTTTAGTTCTTTATATGGTCTGTGGACAGAGATAAAGATTTAACTCATATCTTCCTAATCTTGATTTTAGGACTCAAAATGGAGAATGGTGTAATAAAAATTTTACAATCTGCATGTAAGGGATAGTAGAATCATTAGGGAAGTTGGGTGTTGTTGGAGGGAAGTTGCTAACTGAAAGATGGTTCTCAAAGGAGATCCATGATGGCTGGATAGAGGCACCTTGTGCACAACCCTGCCACAGAGAAGTATCAGTACAACAAAGAAAAAACTTTCGAGGACAGTGATTAAGGGAGAGCTCTAGAAATCCTCAGGGAAGATGATAGAAAACCCTCAACAGCATGCCAAGTTAGAAGGGCAACACAGAGAAAAGAACAACAAAGCCCTGTAACTTCAACCCCAGCTCCTGGCTTTGGGGTCAGGGTGGTACTGCACATTGCCACAAAAAGTAAGAGGGAAAGTACCAGCATTCCCCTTCACAGCAGCGAACTGACAGTCCTAACTTCTGGAGAATTCTACAGTCCCTACAGACTTTTAAGTCTGCTTTAGGGGACTGGCTGGTTTAAAAGCAAATGTTCCAAAGAAGGAACTTGCACTGGGCCTTCCCCAACCCCCAGAATCCAAGCTGTTACAATAGCCACTGCTAGGCTCTATCTTGCTTTAGAAACCTTGAAGCTCTGTTGTCTTGCATAGTGGAAGAGAGCCCTGCCAGCATCCTGCAGCTTCAGACCAGCAGATGCCAGAACCACAAGCCCAAGTCCCACCCAGGCCTGCCCCATGGGAACTAGGAAAGGTCTCCTTCCAGCTCACAGCCTTGGGATTACATTTCCTAGTGAAAAAAGTCCTGATCCAACCATGCTTGTCTCTGGGAACCAAGGAGCTTTCACATCCATAACCTGTAGCTCCAGGATCACAGATACCAAGTCACAAGCCCCAGAACCATCTGAAGGACTTAGGGAAGATCTGCTTCATGTCCTACACCTTCAGGAACATGCATAACCACACAAGCGATATACCTCCATATACTCCAGGGGACATATGAAAGTTTTCTTCAACAGCCCATGGTCTTGGAACTACAGATACTGGTGACAAAAGCCCTGGAATCACCTGTGTATGTCAAATGGGACCTGAAGAAGATGCAATCCAGGTCCCACAGCTCAGGGAAACAGTTACCAGCACTACAAGCACACAGCCACCATGTAATTGTCCTGTGGGACCTAGGAAAGGTCCCCTTCACATCTCACAACCACGAATCCATAGTTACTACTGCCAAAGGTCCCAGCATTACACTTGCTCATCACGTGAGAACTGAGGAAGTTACCATCCCATTCTGTAGCTGCAGAGGTATAGCTGGTTATTCCTGTAGCCCCAAGCATTCCTGCATTCATCCTGAGGAACCTGGGAAAAAAGTCCTTCACATCCTTTAGTTCAGGAACTGAGGCCACTGACATCACCTGTGCTTGCCTTTTAGGATCTGTCTTCTTTACATCCTGTTCTACTAAGGCTGTGGCAGCTGCTATTACAAGTCAAAGTGCCATCGGTGCTAAACTCTGTGGCCTGAGGAAATGCTCCATTGGAAGCCTATGCTCACTGCAAAATCATACAACTACCTTCATGAACTGCTGTAATCTAGACTATTGAGGAACTCATAGACACTGCTGGCATCAATCACAGCTGAAGAAATCACACAGAGGCTACATTTTGAAGTCACCTATAGTCAAAGTCAAAGCACTAGAACCATACATTACATCTAAATTAAAGAAATCTTTTCCTATAAGAGATGATCCATAAAATTGCAAGAGGTGACTGTTTCACCAGATGCACAGACATCACTGTAGGACCACAAGAGGAATGAAAAGAAACCTGGCATCTCCAAAGGAACACAACATTTCTCCAGAATAGATCCCAACTTGAAGTAAATGTATGAACTGTCTGAAAAAGAGTCAAAATGGTGCTCTGGAAATTCAGCAAGATGCAAGATAGTACAGATAGATGATATAAATAAATGAGAAAAACCATTATATGAATGAGAAATTCACTAAGGATAGAAATCATAAAAAATAACCAATCAGAAATTTTGGTGCTAAACCATTAGTCAATCAAATAAAAAATATTTGAGAATTTCTACATCAGACTAGAATAAGGAAAGAAGAACTTCTGAACTGAAGTAGAGGTGTTTTAAGTTAACACAATCAGACAAAAAAAGAATGAAGAAAGTCTTTGAGACTTATGGGACATCATTAAGTGAACAAATATTCAGATTGTGGAAATTCTAGAGGAGGAAAAAAAGAAGAAAGGCATTGGAAATGTATTTCATGAAGATCTGGGAAAGCTGAAAGTTTCCCAAATCTTCAAAGATGTACAGACATTCAGACATTAAGATATAAGAAGTTTAAAGGCCCAGACATTGTATGCTCATATGAATAAAAGAAATTAAAAAAAAAAGTTTAAAGGACCCCAACTGATTCAACCCAAAAGATCTTCACCAAGTCAAACATACAACACAAAGAGAAAATCCTATAAAACAGCAAAAGAGAATCATGCCACACATAAAGTAATGCCCATTGCACTTACAGTGAATTTCTCAGCAGAAACTTTACAGGCCAAAAGAGAATTGCATGATATATTCAAAGTCTTGAAATTAAAAATAATCAAAACCAAAAAGCTGCCAACCAAGAATACTAGTCCCAGAAAAATTATTCTTTAGAAATGAAGGAGAAAAAAGTCTTTCTTTGATAAGTAGAAACTAAGGGAACTCATCTCTATAAGTCCAACAAGAAATGCTATTGGGAATTTTATACTAGAAACAAAAGGGTGATAATCACCATTATGAAAATACAAAATATACAATAAACACTAGAATAGGAGATATACAAAAAAAAGAAAGAGATCAAATTTTAGCATGACAGACAGAAAACTACCAAATCACAAAGATAAATAATAAGCAAGTGGAAAAGAATAAAGAATATACAAAAAAAAAAAAACCAGAAAAATTAACAAAATGAGAAGGCAAGGTTCAAACTCATTAATAATAACTTTGAATGCAAATGAATTAAATTCACCAATCAAAGGACATAGACTTGCCAAATGAAAGGTATGTGTGGGGGGAAACAAGATCCAACTTGTTTTATTGCTTACAAGAGACTCACTTAACTGGTAGCAATACACTAAAAGTGTAGGGTTGGAAAAAGATATTCACACAAATGGAAACCAAAAGCAAGCAGGAGTAGCTATAATCATACAAGGTAAAGAAAACTTTAAATTGAATAGTGTAAATAGACTCAAAAAATAGTTGTCATAGATTGATAAAACAATTCAGCAAGAAGACACAACAACTGTAAATATATATGCACTCAACACTGGACCTCCCAAATATATAAATCATGTTTTAGATCTAAAGGGACAGAGAAGCTCTAATACAGTAATAGTTTGGGATTTCAACACCCAACTTTCCTCCTTGGACTGATCTGACAGAAATAAATAAATAAATAAATAAATAAATAAATAAATACCAGAGTTGAACCATACTATAGAGAAAATGGGTCTAACAAACAAGTATGGAACAGTCCATCCATCAGCAGCAAAATACAAACTTTTCAATGCTACATAGAACATTCTCCAGGTAGATCATATGTTAGATCACTAATCAACTCTCAACAGATTTCAAAAATTGAAATTGTATCAAGTCACTGTGTCATGATACATGAGAAAAATCAGCTTAAAAGGAGGAAAGATTTATTTCTAGTTTCAGAGGTTTCAGTTATAGTCACTTAGGCCTGTGGTGAGGCAGAACATAATGGCAGGAAGCATATGATAGAGCAAAGCTGCTCACCTCATGGCAGCCAGGAGGTGGGGGGTAGGGAGGGAGAGAGGGAGAGAGAAAAAGAGAGGGAGAGAGGGACAGAGAGAGAGAGCGAGAAAAGAGAGAGAGGAGAAAGGGCCAGTATTCCAACATTACTTCTCAGGATGTATCTCCAATGATCTAACTTCCTCCGACTTAGCCCCATCTCTTAAGGTTCCATCAGCTTTCAATAGTGCCATGAAGATCATGCCTTTAATACATTTTATTAATCACACTGAATGGGGAAAGGCTGAAAGGATTTTTCCTAAGATCATGAACAAGACCAAGGTATCCATTTTCTTTGCTCTTATGTAACATTGTACTAAAAATTTTAGCTAGAGCCATTAGGCAAGAGAAAGAAATAAAAGGCATCAAAATTGGAATGGAAGTTAAATTATTCAATTTAAAGATGACATGGTTTGATACAAAGAAAAACCTAGGGATGGGGTATGGTCCAAGTGTAGAGTGCTTACTTGTTAAGTTCAAGGCCCTGACTTCAAACCCTCGTTCTTAAAAAACAAACAAACAAACAAAACAACAACAACAAAGGCAAGTTGGACTTCATCAAAATT